GACACTTTATCCTCTATCTATCCTCTATCTCAGTGTACCGAGCTGTTGTTGAGTCTGATTGCACGGCATCCTGAAACTGTTAGCTGCACTATTTTGCATTAAGAGAGACAACACTTCAGAGATAGTGAGTTCTCACTTTTTTCACTGGCTCTCTTTTGTCAGTGGATTTAATGGAGAGTTCAGCCAAAAAGAAAAGAAAATTCTGTCATCGTGTATGAGTCTCTTTTTTCTGTTAAGCACAATATTTTGAAAAATGTTGGTAACCAAATAATTGACGGTAGCCATCGAGAGGGTTTATCATATGTGACATTCACAGTGAAGATTGAATTAATACATTAAAATTCTGCCATCATTTACTTTTTTTTTTTTTTTTAAGTTTTGAATGAGATGTTAAGGAGTTCTAGTTTCATGAGATCCAGTTTTTGTTTTTTTTGTGAAATAGGGTGCTTTTATGAGCTTGACATCTTCTGGTTACCACTGACTTTCAGTGTATAGAAAACTGACTTTCATTCCATGGTGAGAAAATTATAACAGAAATTATTAAATTTTTATTTTTGGGTGAACTATTCCTTTATATCAGCATGAAAGGTCAAACATAAATTGGGATATTTTCTAAGATTAAGCTGGCAAATAAATTATCATACAAATGTTTGCATCTGTCTCAAAATAATGTTCATCGACAGTGAGTCAGCAAGTTATTTAACCTTCCTATCAGTCGCTTTACAGTTTTCACCAAACTGAAAACATTCCAGTCTCAGTGCTTTTTTTGTAAATGTCAATGTATTGCATAATGAGATGTAACCTAAGTTGCCCACAGGTATACTGTGACATTAAATGATTGCAGAGGAAGCTTATTATAACCAGCACAAATAATATATAATGACCTTCAGACACTGAGAGGTGATTCTCTCATTCAATATCAAACAGCAACCCTGTTTTATACATATATAAAATAGCGAATACGATTAATCACAGTCTTCCACTATTAAATGAATATCAGCATTTATATGAGTGCTAAATTAGCAACTTTTCTATATCTTGACATAGGTGATGTAATTGCTACCAAGGAATTTCAGTGTGGTTTGCAGGTTGGGAAATAATAAGAATAAAAAATCTCTTTCTTTCAAGTGTATCATCTCCTCTTTTGACAGTATTTCTAAGTAAAAAGAAAAAAAAACTTTTTATGAGTGGAAGGTATGTTGTAACACTGAAGGGCTTTTATGGATTTGGGAGGTTGTCTTGACCTAGCTTTTATATGAAGATTATGACGTGAATGGAAGTAGTGTGGATGTACAGGTGGAAAATTAAATGTGAGTCATTTGAAGACTCAATTTAATTGGGAAATTTCAGACTGTTTCCTTAAAAAGGCTACTTTTTTCCTAACAGGCTGACTTAAAGGGGTCATATGATGTTGCTAAAAAGAACATTATTTTGTGTATTTGGTGTAATGAAATGTGTTTATGCGGTTTAAGGTTAAAAAACACATTATTTTCCACATACTGTACATTATTGTTTCTCCTCTATGCCCCTCCTTTCTGAAACACGTAGGTTTTTACAAAGCTCATCGGTCTGAAAAGCGAGGTGTGCTCTGATTGGCCAGCTATCCAGTGCGTTGTGATTGGCCGAATACCTGACGGAAATGTTACGCCCCTTAACATACTGTGATGATGTGTCCCGGCCGGAGCGACGAGACAAAAACATTAACCCATTATAAACGAGGCATTTGTTGCATCCAGGACATAATTACCGATTATAATGACTTATACTGTCTAACCATGTCTGCATTTGTGATCGGAGAAATGACAAACAACAAGCGCTACTCTGCACTGCCCAAAACTCGCGTTTGAATCGTCAGTGGAAAATTCTTTAAATATAAAAAAACGTACTTGCAGTCCGTGAGTCAGAACAGCCGGCATTGTAGTCTACTCTCCCGGATCAGGAATCAGTCCTCCATAAAAAGCAGTGCACACATCTGAATATTTGGGTTGAATTGTTCTGGAACAGTGTTGAATCTTCCCACATCGTGACATAGACATGTGGGGGCGTGTTTAAACGAGGCGTTTTAGGAAGGCGTGGACCAGTCTTAACTTTTATAAAGAACTTTATGGATCTTATCTATTCACGAACAGCTTGTAACACTCCAAAGAGAAAGGAAAACTTGAAATCGCATCATATGACCCCTTTAAGGAAAACAATTTTAAACCAGTTTCACTTGACTTGGTACATTTCTTGGAGTAAACTGTTCAAGTTATTGTGGCTGTGACTAATTGTATGTGGCCTTGCAGGCTGATATACAAGGTAATCACCACCATAAATGCATGATGGACTGTGATTCGCCATCTGTTTCCAGGCAACATTGGCCAGCACAGCACAAGGGAATGAGAGCTCGTCTGCCCCAATCATATTTTATACTCTGTCTTCACCGTAAACACCAATCTGTGGGATCCATCTGAGATGAACGAGGATGCATTCACGAAGACATTATCCAGACTACACACACCGCACAGAATGTTTCAAGCCTCTCAGAAGAATAACTGTATATCAATAACAGAGAGTGAGGTCACTTCCTCTAAAAACATAACGATTTTTCATCTATCTATCTATCTATCTATCTATCTATCTATCTATCTATCTATCTATCTATCTATCTATCTATCTTGGCCAGCACAGCACAAGGGAATGAGAGCTCGTCTGCCCCAATCATATTTTATACTCTGTCTTCACCGTAAACACCAATCTGAGGATGCATTCACGAAGACATTATCCAGACTACACACACCGCACAGAATGTTTCAAGCCTCTCAGAAGAATAACTGTATATCAATAACAGAGAGTGAGGTCACTTCCTCTAAAAACATAACGATTTTTCATCTATCTATCTATCTATCTATCTATCTATCTATCTATCTATCTATCATCTATCTATCTATCTATCTATCTATCTATCTATCTATCTATCTATCTATCTACCAAAGTTGTGTTGCTCTGTAATATCCTGAGAGAGGTTTCTGAGACTGTAAAGCATAAATCAAGCTCACATCTGTAAATTTGTCATCGTTGCATTGAGATGTTATGAGAGTAGTATACAATTTCATGAGGGAGAAGGGTCTGAACTGAGATAGCACATTATGCTCTGGCGCATGGAATATTTTGATACGCATTTTTTGAGGGTGATGAAAAAATGCAGGGTTTGTGGTATCGTGGGAAACAAGGCCAAAGGAAATGTTCCACTTCTCCAGTTTAGAATAAGCCTTAAAAATGGATATGTAACATTAAGGAGTTATTTATACTTAATCTGAACAATAGAAATAGCTTCTGTATCCAAATATAGTATAGTTGAAAAACTAATAAAAATGACAAAAACACATAACAAAAGCACACAATATATACTGTATATATATATATATATATATATATATATACTGTATATATATATATATATACACACACACACACACACACATACACATACACTGATTACTGTTAAAACGTGCTTAATGTGACCACATAAAGCACATCACCCAAGAAAAACTGTTAATGCATTTTGCATGTTGCCTTTTTATTTTGTAAACCTTACACTTAAAAATAGTGTTTACAGTTGAGGAAGAAGAAGGCGTGAAATAGAAATAAAGAAAGAAAGAGGTTGGTATTAAGGTCACCAATAAAATCATGCCCAGATCAGACATTATAATAACTCTAGTTCACTTAAAAAAACACAAAATTAAAATACTAAGGGCTGAAGCAACAAATAAATTATTTTTTTAATCATCCCTTTAAAGCTTTCCCATCATTAATCTTCACACATGATATCCCCCCACTGCTGCATACATACTCTGGGCCATAAAAATTCATTTAGAGAGCTCTAGGAGATTGCCGCTGGACATCACTGCAAGTGCAACATTTGAACACTTTTTTTTTTTGGGGTTCTGCCCCTGTGGATTTAAGTGTCTACGTTTCATTAATACTTCCTCTAAAGCTAAAGGTGAATCATCATTCTTCTAGAGAAAGATACAGACCATCTATTCAAAAGGGCAGGCAAAAGCAGTGAGTCACTAAAGAATACAAATCCAGTTCCAGTAAGCTGAGTGTAAGGCTGCAATCACGATTTTGACAAGACAAATCATTAATAAGAAGGAAATTGATATAAAAATGAATAGAAATGTGCTTTCCAGGTAAATATCCTTTTTTCCCCCGCAAACCATAGAGACTGATTCTGATTTGTGAACCAGTAGGCCTAGGCTACTCTTTTTGAGTTAATTGATTGATTGAACCTTAATAATTGATTGGACCTTTTTACAATAAAAGTCTGAATGGTTGGCAAATGTTGGCAAATCAGCCTTAATTTGAATGTTTAAACATTCAGACTGATTTTGTTATTGTTATGAAGACTGGTTTGCTAAAAACCTTGAATGACTCTTATGAGCCGGTTCGTTTTAGAGAATCAATTGTGCGACCAGGTTAGTTCGATTACCAAATGAATGACTCTTATGAGTCGGATCTTTCTAGAACTAAACTGCAAATTATTACTTTTCATGTCCGCCTCGAAATAAATAAAAGAATGAACCTATCGTGACACCTAAATATGTTACTGACTAATACAAGAACTTGGAGATACACATGCGTTTTGCTGTAATCAGTGTTATTTTAATTAGCATAAGGCAGTGAATAAATGAATTATTACCACTTATTTAGTGATAGTGATATATATATATATATAGGAGCATTATGCTGCCTCATTAAAAGTAGGCTACTATTACTTTTTTGATTTGTTATGTATTCCAGACTCTGGAAATGATATAATTTACCAACAGACTAGGCTACTGTGGGCAGATAATACAATAGGGAATTGCATTTCTTTCTTTAAAATAGTTTCCCCCTCAAACGTAATAAAAGAATCGAACCGGAATATTTAAAGGGAATCAGAACAAGAATGACGAAATTCTTCAGAACACTTTACCAGAACGGAACGGTCACCCGGAAGTACGTGACACTGACTACCGCGCAGTCAACCAATAGCCTACTTGGAGAAGTTGACTATTTGGAGCCACAAACTAAACTACAGCGTACGTACTACTCCACATAACTCTGGAAGCGTGTGATTGCCTCGCCTGCTGGAATGGCTCCATTACTGAGCTGGTCATGTAGACCGCTTCTACTGCCTCTTATTGGAATATGTTTCACACAATTTGCAAAAGGTGAGTTTACTACTCCACATAACTCTGGAAGCGTGTGATTGCCTCGCCTGCTGGAATGGCTCCATTACTGAGCTGGTCATGTAGACCGCTGCTTCTACTGCCTCTTATTGGAATATGTTTCACACAATTTGCAAAAGGTGAGTTATTATTCTTTTTTTCCTAATTATTATTCTTTTATTACATAAGTTCATTTCACAAAGGTGGAGGGAATATGCGCTTCTGAGGCACTTCTGGAAGTTCTAAAAGCATTTCAAACTGTTTACGAACAGAAGACAGCTGTGATAATTATACTTGTTGATTTAAATACAGTAATGAACGTATTATAGCCTACTTATAATATCATATTTGCGGTCAGAATTTAAAGCTTATCCTAACACGACTACTGCAAGGAAATTAGACAATATTGACATGTTATAAGTGTTTAGGGGAGCTAAAGCTACTTTGAAGGTTGCAAGTAACAGATTACGTTTATATTTTAGATCACGGGTTATTTGTAAAGATTGTAGAATTGCATACTAAATACTAGGTTGCTTACTGCGTCCCACCAGTGGGAGTTCAAGAGCTCTGGTGGCTCAAATGCTTCAGCTCAACTTTGATGATTAAATCCAAAACAAACTTCAGATTTTTGTCAACAAGGGCTGTGTGCTTTACAGCCACAATTTCTAAGCGAGATGAAACTGAAGGATTGATAGGATTTAGGGTCATTAAAATGAGCATTTTGTGCCACTTTTGTTCCGTTTTGTCTGTAATAAATATGGGAAGATGGCTTTTTAACTTTTGGGGACTGGAATTTAATATTTAACTTGCTAGGTGTATTTAATCGTAATGTTTGTAGATTGTTTGGCTATAGTTTTTGCCTCAATGATGTTATGTATTTTCTATGATTTAATTTGTATTAAAAGACGAAAATCTACCTAAATGCCATTTTACATGTTCTTAGTTTATTTTTAGTTGAGGAAATCTGATCAAATTAGAAGAACAAAATAAGTGATTTATATATAAAAGTGGTATTGCTCGACCTAATGCTTATTGCCTGCCAATTAGTTCACCATTTAGCTCATTTTTATGTCATTCATTCAGACCACAATCAGTGTCAGAACTTTTATTATTGTTATAATAATAATTATTATAATTACAAATATTGCCCCTTAATAAAAACTAAGTATTAATAAAAAACTGTGTTTTGTGGTTATAAGGCATTTATTTCTTATTTTCTAACCATATTTAAACACCCATTTATGTCAAATGTTTCATTTAAATCAGTTTATTAGTTGTCAGTCATTTATATATAAAAGTGGTATTGCTCGACCTAATGCTTATTGCCTGCCAATTAGTTCACCATTTAGCTCATTTTTATGTCATTCATTCAGACCACAATCAGTGTCAGAACTTTTATTATTGTTATAATAATAATTATTATTATTACAAATATTGCCCCTTAATAAAAACTAAGTATTAATAAAAAACTGTGTTTTGTGGTTATAAGGCATTTATTTCTTATTTTCTAACCATATTTAAACACCCATTTATGTCAAATGTTTCATTTAAATCAGTTTATTAGTTGTCAGAACAATTATGGCTGTTACCTGTAATATTAAATCAATGTTAAATACAAAAGTATCTGTAAATAATACATAAAATATACCCCCCCCCCCACTTCCGGTAGCATTTTTGCACCAAGCCCTTGCTAATTCTTGACCCTGACTACAACAATTCGAGCATATACAATTCTGATATTTTAGTTACTGAGACCATTATAGATCTCATTATGGTTGGGATATAACATCAGTAAGATGTGATTGCTTGGTTGTTAATGTAATATTTTCTCAGCAGCACCCACCTCTTGGAGCATAGCTCTTTAATAAGTTACACATGGAAACCGCTTACGCTGAAGAAATGTTTTTGTTCCTTTTGGCTGCAGTCCAAGCATTGTGAACTTTTAGACCTGCTTAACTGCACCAATCAATATGCTGGCTGGCTCTCTATCCTCCATAAATCTCTTTAGCGTCTCTGAATGCGTGGAGGTCACAATCTCAACTCAACACTGTTGCTGTTATGATGAAAGGATTTGTTTTAATTAAATGATCTTTAAAAATAGATTGGTGTACGTATGGGTGCGATGAAATATTAATACTGCAGAACTCTGGCTTGTGCATATGGTAATGTTCTAAAATCTGCCGGCTTGACACTGCTTGCTTGATGTTCTTTAGGCAGATTTTACTTTGACTTCTTATTTGAAAGAAGATGCTTCTTTCCTCTGAAGACTACAGTGCGATTAAATATGGTTTATAAAACCCTTATGTGAACTACCATATCCTAGGATCAATTGAAGTCAACTGTTCGTTCACTGACATTGTATTTGTGATTAATCCAAAACATGACTAATATTATTTTTTTATTATTTGGAATTATTGGAAATTAAATTAAAGTTAATTTAATTTAATTGTGCATATATTATATAATTGACAAAATGAAAAAAAAAAAATAGTTTGGGCTGTTTACGTTGCTGTTGTCACATGGCACAGTGCATAGAAAGAGTAGTTTAATTTTATTTCGAAAGATTCTGTCACATATGAACTTCAGTCTGGAAAAATATAGATGGAAGAGAAAGAGATGTTCCTTTCTGTGAATAATGGGTTTGCACATCGGATGTGAAGCTCACATAATAGACAATTTGTGAACAAGTGATTTATTAGTAACCTTTTCGATGAACAAACGTGTAATGAATTCTCGTTATTATAATGACATAACTGACAGTATTATGAATATTATATGACAAAGGTTACGTTAATTAACACATTCTGCAGGATTTTATATTTGTTTATATTTAAAAAACACTTAGTTTGGGCTGTTTACGTTGCTGTTGTCACATGGCACAGTGCATAGAAAGAGTAGTTTAATTTATTTCGAAAGATTCTGTCACATATGAACTTCAGTCTGGAAAAATATAGATGGAAGAGAAAGAGATGTTCCTTTCTGTGAATAATGGGTTTGCACATCGGATGTGAAGCTCACATAATAGACAATTTGTGAACAAGTGATTTATTAGTAACCTTTTCGATGAACAAACGTGTAATGAATTCTCGTTATTATAATGACATAACTGACAGTATTATGAATATTATATGACAAAGGTTACGTTAATTAACACATTCTGCAGGATTTTATATTTGTTTATATTTAAAAAACACTCTCAGCCTCACAACGTATGTTGTTGGCTCGGTACGTTTGTTTGGACATTATGGCTACTTCACATTAATTTTCATCAAGAAATTTTACTGAACCCTGCAAAGCCATCCTAAGCTGCAAGACACATAATCCTCACTAATTTTTTTCTTTCTGGGTTAAATATACCACTATTAGTCATGCCTCATTGAATGAGTCATTAGAGGAAGGCTTGTCTGAGCTGATAGCTCTATCTTTTTCCAGAGGTCTGACCCTTTTTCAAGACGAATGGCTTATTTCAGTTTGTTGAGACACTTCGCAGAATTGCACAAAGCTCCTCCCTTACAGGACTTTTGAATGGCCTGTAAAAGTCAAAGTGCCATATCTAAAGTTCCAATGAAACATCAGGAGAGGTCAGAGAGAAGTGTGCTCTCTTGATTAAACTATGACAGAGACTGTAATTGCGTCTGTCATTCCTTACACATTTACTCTGAAGAGGAATCCATGCAAGACTGATACCGTTAAATAAAGACTTACGTGGTTAAACATGCAATGGATTCTAAAATGTGCTCATATGGCAGCTGTATTGCTCAAACACAGTGTAAAAGGACAAAGATATATAGAGTAACTACCCAGGGTCCTTGTGTGGGCTGTGAAAAGCTGGGTGAGATTAAGGGCGCCTACACACTTTTATACCGCTTCAGTGATGTGTATAAATTATTTCAGTAGCGTGTCATGAAAGCATATAAACACAAGAGTATTTACGAAAGTGACAAAACAATTAACCAAGGAGAATGTCAGGGAGGCAGGTACAGTTGTGTATTCTTGATTTCAACTTGACAACTTTAACAGAAGTGTAAAAGTACTGGGACTGCCATTAAATTGTACTTAAGTTAAAGTACAAATGCTAAGTCAAAAACTTTCCTTAGTACCTTAAGCCCAAAAAATAAAAAAGTATGCAAATAGTTTGCAAGGAAATCTGTCCAAATTAAAAAAATAAAAATAAAAAATCATACAATTTTATGTGAGACTATGTGAGATGTTAAACTAAAACCAATATCCTGAAACCTAAAATGAGCAGCAGAAAATTACACAGTGGTTTGACATTTGAATATGATTCTTAGAATAATCAAGACTGATCATGAACCGACAGTTTTTCACTTGATGCAAGTTCATCTATCAACAGTGATGGTTATTAAAAAAAACACACACACATCACTTATAGTTCAAAGTCTGTGTCTGAAATGGATAGTTCACTGAAAAATGAATATTGTCATTTATTTACCTTTGTGCAGATCCTTGTATTACAAAATAAGTTATTTATAGCAGAATGTCCAAAGTCTAAACTGATCTTGTGTGTACAAAGAAAGCGAATGAGGACCTTGGCTGTCAAGTTAGATTTTAAAAGCAAGTGAATAACAACATAAATTTCAATCTGTACATAACTTATATCAACTACGTTCTTGATGCTTTCATGCTCACAGGATATGATTCTTGTTTCTTTTCTTTTTTGTCATATTTGGAATATTTTTTGAACTTTTGGAATTTTTATAAACTTGGTACCATAGACCTGCTACCCATCCACTTTCATGATGTTCGGAAAAAGCATAAACTTTCTTCAGAATTTATACTTTTGTGATCCTGAAGAAAGTCAGGAAGGTTTGAAATGACAATGATGGTGGGAAAATGATTACTTTATTTATTTATTGTTTGTTTGTTTTTGTCAACTAGTCTTTTAAAAACTGACACCTTATCAGTATTTACACTAAAATAACTGTCATTGGCTGTTTAAATAAAAGGCTATTGACTGAAGAAAAATACAGTTTTAATTATCA